TCCACTTTAATATACGTTATGATATAAGCCGTCTACGTGGATATGTGTTCTCTGTACTAAAGTGTATATTAAATGCATATGATATATGTAAATATACATATAGAATTGCAAATTATCTAACAAGGACTTCATATTTTCATAATTTATCGCACAACAGTGCTTACTGTAACGTACATTTTATTTTTTTATTTTGTTAGATCTTTATATAAAAATATTATTTTCACATTTTATGACGTTGGCTCTTTTAAAGATAACTCATCATCATAACTTTTTAGTATGATCAAGCATCTTATATGTTGTGTCATTTATGTTAATTTTTTACTTTCATGTAAATACAAATTAATATTGCATATATATGTTAGAAAGAATAGTCATATTTATTTATTAAAATTGCTTATGAATCTCAAAAGAGATTTTGTGCATACAATTTTGTGCATACAGTACATTTTATTACAACCAAGAGTCGAACGATTAACGTTGTATTTCTTCATATTTTCGTAGACTGTTTATATTCTTATTGAAATGATAACGTTAATTAGATGTGAAGTAAGTATTTAAGTTAGCAAGAAACGACAGGGAGCATCAGAGAAATGCGCTCGATAAATCATACGGTAGTAGCTAAGCTGCAATCCGTAACTTGTAAAACAATCATGGTTTTTTTGTTGCTTAATGAATTTCAGGTCGGTATTAAGTGACATGAAGTGATGCGACAGACCAGGTGTTTAAGGAGAGCCATTGACCCAGATATTTCGTCAACGGGTCAAAATTATGAAATTAACAAAATTACTTTATATTACTATTCTTACCTTACCCATTTCTGCATCATATGCGATACAATCTTGCAAGCATTTATGTTATATAGTAATGTCGATACTAATCGTGGAAAAAAAGTGCAACGTATATAATAGAATATAGCATATCGTTTGCACGAAAATCAGTAAGGTTAGAATAGATGCAAAACCTTATTTTCATAAGTTTATATCGCCTCGTAGTATTATGAAGATAAGGTTTCAACTGTGTAAAAAAACAAGGCTATAATGTGAAAGCTGGAATATAATTGATCATTCGGTATTTCTTGTTCCATCTCTAGCTTACAATTGTATTCCAGCCGTTGGATAGAATCTTTAAAGAAAAATGTGGAAATATTCTCCTTAAAAAAAATAAATAAATAAAAAAGGAAGGAAATGAAAAACGCAAAAATACACAAAAAGAAAAATAATAACAAGCCTCGGGTAAAAGTAAGTTCTCTAACCTGTTTGTTTGTTTATAAGGTTTTGAATCAAGAGGTATTGGATGATAGAGGGAAGTTTGAAGTTTCGCTCTGAAAAAATGAGTTTTGAAAAGTCGAAGACAAGATATCCGAAGACACGTTTATCTTGCTCGCATTGTCAAGAGTCAGAAGGTTTTCTCAGTTGCTTGTGACAAAGAATATGATCTGCAATTCATTTCCGGCTGAGAAGCCTCAAGCCTAGAAGAAAACTTCAAGTAATGCAAGCCCGAAGACAGAATCGAGTTGACCGTCAGACCCCCGACCGGGACGGATGAGTCGTTTGGTTGGGGGTGAAAACAGGGCCGAACGTGTTTCCGAAAATGTTCAAGAAGTTCATCGAAATCTTTTATAGAATAGGGACGAGCGTAAGGTGCTCCCAGACGTTTATACCGATCATATTCTTTATCAGTTGGTTTGGTTGATTTGGTCACGCGCTATCTTATTCGCTCTAGAGAACTATGCATATATTTGCATATTCTCGATATGCAAATCTCTATATCTATATACATATATGAAAATAAAGATAAAAGTTTGCATATTTCCTTTATCACATCCTCTCCCTCCACCATCCTGAGACCTCCGTTTTTTTCCAAGAAAACTTCGGTCTATTTTACCTACCTTAGGACCTTGACATTACATTTTATCAATAAATGCTGTTTCTACCACGTTCGACTCTGATCCCTTTCATTTTTATAATATTGCGGAGTTTCGTTTGGCGCACAACACATGAATCGCTTTTTACGCTTAGGATAAAAATGCTGCGGATTGATTCTTATAATGCGCGTTATTATTGCCTTTGCAAACATTTAGGTCTTAATCTTGTAAAAGTGTGTGAATGAATCCGAGACTTGGTCTGAAATTTAAATGCCAATAAAATCAGCTTCCAGCAAAGTCTTTTGTCTTTTTTATTCCGATTATTATGTATTACCGCATATTGTCTCTGAAATTTGAATTCAAAAAATGATAAGAAACAAGAATATGTACTTGAATATCGACAGTGAAATAAATTATCTATTATTTCTAGACATGAATGTTATGAGTTAATCACATCTAAATAGCATATTTTTCTATTAAATTTTTAGCAGATTTCTTTTATAGAAAGAGAATTGTTATATTTGTGTATTTCAAACCATGTGCCATTACTATTGATGAAATATTCGATTTTCCAAATGCATATTTGTGCAAATGATATTCGTAACAAAATTTAAAAGAGTTCAAGATGGGAGATTACTTATTCGAGAAAAGGAGATACTTGAAAAAAATGAGCGTACCTTTGTAATTTCATTTCATTTTTAATGTAACATGGAATATCAAATTCATATTTTTGTTTATAAATTTAAACTTTTTACATGTAAACATAATTAGTGACAGTGATATTAAATTTATATATATTCAAGTTTGAAACTATCGAGAGAGCGATCGAGCCATCGAGAGTCCACATCGATCAATCGATTAGCTGCAGTTGCAGTTGTATGTACAATTTCTACATTTCCAAACACAAACAACATTGAGATTCTCGTAATCTTTTTTGATCCATATTATCAAGAAATAAAAAAGAATAAATTGAACCCATGTGAATGAAAGAAACGAATTTTCGAGAATGCAAAAGGCAAAGAAGAAAGGTAAAATGCAGCAACCCTCATCGTCCTTCGCCGACTGTGCGGAAGCCACGCTGACGGACGAAGACGTGGGCAAGGACTTCGGCATCCTCATAAACGCACCGCTCTCAAAAGGTGGACATTTTGTCTTAAAGTCGGAAAAAACATGGGCCATCGATTCGTCGCAATACTCAGAATTCTTTACCCTGAACCTCAAAATGCTGTCTGCTGCGATCGACTGTGTCCCATTTAACGAGTACGTCGATGTAGATGACAGGTATTTCGTAGTGAGTACTCGAGAATATCGGCTCAAATTACACGAGTGAATTCTATCTCGATCGAATAACTGATGAGCGAGTAATCTGCATTATAACCATTCCTCTTAGAGCGATCAGTTGACAAGCATCTACAATAATGCCGAGAGAGGCAAGGCAGCTTATAACGCAATTTTGAATGAGCTAGATACGTCGAGTTTATCGAATGTTGAAAATGAGACCGAGAACATGCAAAATCAATCAGAAAATCTGACGGCAAATGTGAAGTTTGAATCAAATGACAATGTCCAAGATTTAGAAGAGGATTTAGATTTTTTACTGTCTCTAAAGGAACCTGTTCAGGATACTCGGATAGGAATTGCACAATCAATGTCACTACCTGTATCTCATAATAGTGGTAAGGCATTAAAAGCAAAAGATATTAGATATATTCTGTTTAAGATTTCTATAACCTTTGTAATTTTTGTCTTGAAAATTATGGGATCAATTATAAAGATTTTATCTTTAAAAAGTTAATTATAAATATAATTTGAAAAGGATTTTTTTTTCTTTGCAATATATCAAATATAAAGAACTCATATCATAAATATATACCCATTAAATTTGTTCCAGATTCTAAAACGAAATCAAAAAATGTTCCGAATAAACCAATCGACTTAGAAAAATGGCTGGATTCTATTTTAGATGATTAGTTCCATTTTTTCCATATTATTGAAGCATATAAAAAAAATCTATAAATATCTGACAAAACGAAAAAAAATAGATAATATAAAATTAGGACATCTATTTGACACATGTAAAGTAATCAAAACATGTAAAGAAATATATTGTTATAAAATTATATGAATTAATTTTTATACATAAAAAATATATATTCAAATGCATTTTCTTAAAGAATAATCTTAGAGAATTGTCCTTATAGCTTATCTTCACAGTTTCTCAAAATGCAACATTATCATTAATCTTTGAATTTTTTCGTAAGAAATATATGCATATAATCATATACCACAAGCATAATGGCACCACCTGGACCTAATCTCAGCACCTTTGGCACCAAGCCTTTATACAAAGCTCTAAATCTAGAATGATAAATTATGTATGAGTGTAAAACTTGAGCTCATGGACTTAATTATGGTAAGTAAAATATATGTAGATACCCTTCTCTTTTATAAACAATATGCATGGTGTTCAGTGTTCCTTTGTATAGTGTACTATCCTGTGACCCCTGAATGCGACTTTTAGCAACATCAAATGGTATGTTTAAGCAGGAAGCAACAGTACCTGACACAAATCCTATAGCAACCTAAAAAAATATTTAATGTGTGTTACAAATCGTCAAAAAGAAACAATGTACAGCTATATATCCGTTGTGTGTTATCACAATAACTACTTTAGTTAGAAATTCCAACCAAGGTTCTTTTCTGGCTGGTATATATCCTTTAACAGAATGGTAGAAACCAAAATAAAATGAATTGAACACTGCGTTTCTCATTATAGTGGCTGAGAGTCCTTTGTTTAGACCATTCAATCCAAAGCCATACTTTGAGACTATTTCTTTAGTCACTGCAAACGTCGACGGACTTTCTTTGACATGCTTCCGATTAGATTGCAGTTTTACTTTGACTACTTCAAAAGGATTAACCAATATAGCTTCTGTAACACCGGCGAAGAAACCAGCGCATGAGAATGTCTGCAATGTTGCAACTTATTTATCTTGCAAACAATTAGCGGACTGTGGGTTAATAATCGTATTAGAGATTAATTACCAACGGAGTGGGTGCACTTGCTCCAAATAAGAAAAACTGTTTATATTGCTCGAAAGTAAAAACTAAAAAAAAAATTTTTTATAAATAAAAATAAAACTAAAACTTTTGCAAACAGACTTACTTTAACTGCACGTTTGGGTGTTTCTACAATTATCGGAGGTAAAATGCCTTTCCAAAATGCTGGTAAACCTTCAGTCTTATACATTTTAATCATACAATCACGAATTCCTATAATTATATTAGTGCTGCTAATATACGATCTGATATGTGCTGATAATGTATGACATGATAAGTGTTGCTATTATAAAAAGTACCTGTATAATATAATGGATCTGATTTTGCTGTCTTCACTTGGAGCTGAAAACGTGTTTTAACAAGATCCATTGGATGCATTATGCAAACCTCAATGAATCCTGCTGTTCCTCCAGCACCAATCTGGATGACAGCTTCTTTTAAAAGGCTCTCTGTGGTATGACCTGACATCTTTGCAGTTTCAGTAAAAGATTAATATAAAATATAGAAAAAAAAATCAAAATAAGCGAGGTATGTTATTTTGTATATCAATATATATTTCTCTATATTGTCATTTATTAGAGATCATATCTGAAAATAAAGAACTCAATTAAATATTTTATTAAATCGTTGAATAATATAAATAATGTATGCTATATTACAAAAAGTAATAATATTCATAGTTTCTCATTTCTATGTTTTTCTAGTTGTTTAATATAACGTTCCTTATTCTTACTGACTTAACTTAAGCAAATTAAGCAAAAAGATGTATATTGCCTTTTTTAATAAAACAGGAAGTATTAATTTAGTATCGATACTTGCACTTTTGTTTATATAGAATAAAAAAGCTATTCTACTTTCACAATTCTAAAGCCTAATCTTGATAGAAGTTCCTGTCAGTGGTCCATACTACGTATAAGAAATCTGGAGAACATCACGACCTAAAAATATGTTTGTTGAGTTGGAATCTATTTTTAGATCTCAGAAAAGAACATAACCTTCAATGCAATGATTAACACTTTATTCGCATAAATTTTGGATCCATTTTATTTATGAATATATATATATATACAACTGAAATTTGCTTCAGGTACAATATTAAAATGATCTATCTTTTATTAATATATTGGCATATATATAGAATATTATAAATTATAACATTCTTTGTTGTTAGTTTTATATATTAGTTATATAAATACAAATTAAATAATTTATATATACTTTATATAAAATGCAAATATCAAGTCAGTCATATGAAGCTATCAATAACTTCTAGATAACATTAAAAAGATATATATATATATATATATATAAACAAACACACACTTAAGGTTTTTATCAATGGTTGTATAATATTTAACATTGATAACATTTTATGTATATGTAAATATGTCAAATTATGTAACTTTTAAAAATATATAAAATAATTATCATATCTCAAAAATTTAATTACTAGAAAATGTCATTTTGATCTTAATATTAGAAACAAATAACATATACTTTCTCTAATTAAATTAAAAATATCGGAGCAAATGCAGTGATAGCGGAATATTTTATTCCTACAAACACAAATCTTACTTACATGTCATCAATCACATCGCATAAATAAATAAGTCAATAAGTTAATGTCCACAAATTCGTCGAAACTGGCAACTCATCGCGACAAATATGTCATAGATTCGTTATCTAATCGCATTGCATAATCGTGCGATTAGACGTCAATGACTTCGTTTTTTCTGTAATAACTTACATTAAAATCGTTGGTTCAAGAATTGCAGAAAAACCAAGGAAAAAAAAAGATAAAAGAATCGTACTATGTAAATTCCTCGCAGTCGCGGTATATCGATTTTTCTTCTCGACAATCATATGAAAAACCGTCGACTCACAACAGCACAAAGCACCTTTCATTCTCGCTGATCTTCGACGATCACATGATGTGTTTGTCATGTTCATGCGTAGTGGCGAATCAGCGCACTTTTTCTCTCTTTCACTACTATTTCGCTCGTTTTTAAGTTACGTTTATCATCGATCATCGTTCATCGATCATCGATCTACGGTCCGTCGCGGACCACGTCGCTATCTCGTCGAACGGCTAGAGCGACAGTTTATAAAATCGTAAAAACGTCTCGTTCCCTCCTCTTCTATTCACCTTTGTACTCGCGATGTCCAAAGTTCGAGACGTTATCGTTGTTCGCGCCATGTCGCAATGACTCGCTGGTGCACGCACCGACGCTAATTGGCTCCCCGGCATGTGTAATCACCACGAACGTAAATTCGAGTCGACCGACAACCGACAGTCCGTCGCCGCCGCGCGATGAGTTCCGCGTGATATTTCCGCGGCTCTTCTGCATATCTCTGTTTGCGTTTCGATCGTCATTTGTATCCCGTAACGGTCGTCGTCATGCCAACCGAACAAAATACGAGCGTCAGGCGTCGAAAGGTACGTAACAACAATGATCCCGGATCAGTGGATCTATGTCGCAAGTCATTCCTCGGCATTCGCTTTTTGAACGACGAGGCGCCAACTCTGTGCCACGTCGCGTCTTCTCAGGAAATGCAGGAAACATCCATAGAATACTCGCTCGAGCGAACTCGTGAATACACGCGCACGTGCACGCGAGCGAACCAGAGTTCACGCGCTAAGATGCGTGATATTGGCTATGTTCCGATTCATGCGACTTGCACGCTCGTGAACGCCGCTCGTCCTCGTTTAATATTTGTTAGACAACGAGGGTGAAAACGATTCTATGAGCGATGCGAGCGATGAATCGGAACATAGCTACGCGTGCACGCACGATAGGCGAGGTGGGTTCAAATTTCGAACGTGCCTCGTCCCTCAACCCGCGTCACGTGATCGGCATCTCGCGTTGACATGCGACGAGCGCGCAATTGCGGCCGCTCGAGGCGCGATGCAGCGCGGAGCGCGAAGCACTGCACGCTTGGGCACGGTACATCGTCATCGTCATCGTCATCGGCATCGGCATCGACATCGGCTGACTCTCAGCCGTCGTCGCGCGTTATCGAGCGAGAACTAGCACACTCCTTATGACAAGCGCTCGTTGCCCGGCGGATCGTACGAGTCGCCCTAGATGCAATACACGCTCGTGAGTGTAGAGATCTGGACCGACGTAGAGAAGTTTCGAGCATTCCGGCGAGGTTAATCGCCATGGCCTTCCTCGTGTCGGGGTGACCTCGAGCGAGTTAACTTGATCGGCGATTGACTCACAGTGACCTTGACAACATGCTCCGATTGAGATGATTGACGATTAACTCGTTAGAACACCCCAGTAAGCGATCTGTCCGTAGCATGTCAACATGTCACAGATTGGCAATAAATCCAGCATCATCTGTATCTGCGTTAAGCTTGTGTTTTGCCAGCAGAGCCTGCTAGCGGAATCTCATAATGGATTGTCCACAGAAACCGATCAAAATCTATCATCTCATAAACATTTAAGGAAAATATATTATTTAAATGATTATGAAACAACAAATTCTGCTTGGTTTCTGCAGTTAATCTGACATTCTGTTGGCAATTTCCGATATATTTCTACCGATAAAATTTGTAGCAGATATTTTGCAAAATCTGGTAGATTTGACTAGGATTTTTGTTAAGAATAAGAGATTATTATTATATATGAATTTATTGCATATGAAAATAAAAAGAATTTTGTCAAATTTGAGAAAAACATGAAAAAAAACCTGGAGATGATAAATACAATTAGAAATAGAAAATACTGATGTCTGTTCATTCTTAAAAATTTTACTGCAAGCGTAATTGCACTGGTTGAGTCAATCCCTAATCGAGTTAATTGGAGTTTGATCAAAGCCAAGTCTTGTCAAATGACATTTAAAATATTTTGTTAATATAGATAGAATTCTTTTCGTTAATGAAAGAAAGAAAAATTTTAAGAACGCAAATTAGAAATTTTGTTATAGATAATTTTTTGGATTAAGTTTAATTGATCAAATTTAGTTATAGTTATCTTAATAGGAAAAATATCTCAAGAAAACAGTTGGCTCAAAATAAGTATATATATATATATATATATGTTGTAAATATAGACGTAGATCTCACAATGTGTCTTGCGTTTCAGCTGAGAACTGAAAATGAAGAAGAGCACGATAATGAATTGGCATCCTACCAGAAGAAAACCACTAGCCAGCCGGGAAAGAAATATTTTACTATGCTAGTAGTGCTTGGTACATTGTTCCTAGGTTACATAGCCATAGCAAATGACTTAAAACCTATCAAGATAGGTAGCAAAGCTATAGATACTCTAGCGCTCTCATTTAATTTACAAAAACCGTTCTACGTGGTTGTCATTGATGCTGGATCTACTGGGAGTCGCGTATTGGCATTCGGTTTTCACGAGTCATTTCTCAATGGCAATTTAGTATTGGATAATGAATTGTTTAAAGAAGTAAAACCTGGATTGAGCTCGTTTGCCAATAAACCAGAGGAAGCCGCAAAATCTCTGACTGTACTTTTGAATGAAGCGAAAACTGTGATTCCGCAATCTGAATGGCCTCGTACATTGCTAACTATGAAAGCCACGGCAGGACTAAGATTGTTGCCCGAGCATAAAGCAAATGGCATATTGGAGGAGTGCAGAAAGTTGTTCCAGACGTCCGGATTTCAGATCGCGAGAAATTCTATCTCCATAATGGAAGGCACGGACGAGGGAATTTTCTCCTGGTTCACTGTCAACTTTTTGTTGGATCGTTTTAACTCGCTCAGCTCGCAGACTACCGTAGCCGCATTAGATCTCGGCGGTGGCTCAACGCAAGTCACGTTTCAACCAGACAACGCTCAGGCCAAAAAGTTGGAGAAACACGTTTACTCAATTAATGTATTCAATCATAACATGAGTTTATATACGCACAGTTACTTAGGAATGGGTCTAATGGCTGCCAGAAAAGCAATTTTGACTTATGACATGAATCTCGAGGACACGAATCTTAAAATTCCCATAGAAATACATTCTGAATGTATCAATCCGATTGTATCTGCTGAATGGTCTTATGGTGGACGTGATTACATTGTGAAAGGTCCCACAAATGGCACGTACAAATTAGTGAAGACTCAAAATTTTGCCGGTGGAGATGAAAACAAGCCGATTGTACGCTTTGCAGAATGTTTAAAAATTATTGAAAAGTACGTTAATACTCTCACAGAAAAACCGATAGGTTTGAAGGATCATGAAGTGTACGCGTTTTCGTATTATTTTGAACGTGCGACAGAGGTAAGGATTAAAAAATATTTATTAATAATATAAATAAAAATAAAATATATATTATAACTTAAAAATATAATTACATACATACGATTACTAATTTAACATGAAAATAAAAAATTATGAATGAACTTATTTGATATTACTATAAATTAAGACACTTACTTTAGACAAATATAAAAGATGAAATTTATATTCATTTATATTCATTTTATTTCATTTAGGTAGCGTTAATAGATCCATTTTTGGGTGGGATAGTACAATTAAGTTCATTTTTGAAGCAAGCTATGGAAACGTGCGATTATCCAAACACAGATCAGCCATTTATGTGTTTAGATCTGACATTTATTTACGTTCTACTAAAAGATGGATTTGGGTTAGAATCGTCGACTAAGTTATATGTAAGTAGAAATAACATATGATATTTTTATTATCATGTCTTCTCAGAAATAATGGAATATTTTTAATCTCACAGCTTTATAAGAAGATTAATGGCCATGAATTAAGTTGGGCACTAGGAGCCGCATTCAATGTTCTCCAAAATGGACTTTGACATTATTTTATCGTTATTTTATTAATAAATGAGTTTTTAGATTTATGTTTTTATTGAAAAGACAAAATGGGAAAAATGTAATCAGGGAAAGGATGCAAAAATAATTTGTATTAACAAAACTTAATGTTTTTTGTACAAAAACTTTGAATTTGGCGAAATATTTGATAATTATCAACGTTCGCTGCACAAATGCCTAATCGTACAATCTACTTATTATCACTCCTACGAAAAGAAAGCAGTATTTGACGTATATTTTTAGGTATAATACATTTTTTATCTGAAATATATCATTAAAAATTAAAACGGAGAACATATCGCCGCACGTTTGTAATACATTCTTATAAGATTTACGTGTTATTTCAATATGTATTGTTTAATGATTTCTGTAATTTGTTACATTCGGTTTTTAATTTTCTGGCAATGTTTCAATAATGACAAACGATGCGCATGAAGATTTATCTCACAAAATAGTAAGCACAAGTTGATAGGATATTAAAGTCAATCATTCTTTAAAATCAGACATCTGTTCCTATTTTTTCTTTTAGCATTCCCATTCCTTCTTTTTGATAAATGATGGTAACAAATTCTACGATAAAGCTACCAAGTTTGCGACTCTGGCACTAATGTATTCGCAATATCAATCAATGATAAAATTCATTCGCGTTAGTCATTGTATAAAATTATACGTTAAAATTAAAATGCAACTCACCATGGAAAATTGTTGAGTTCATACGAATGTATTTTTGTGGCGACATATCTGCTATAAGATTGTCAAACGAAAAATTACAGGAAGAAAAAAACGAAATCTGTGAACATATCTCGATGCACAAAAACTGCAATTATCACCATGAAGTCGTAAAGTACAAATAGATTTATTAACGATGCTATTAACTATCTGTTAAAGTATGCCAACGATGTACATAACATTCGATTTTTATATGTATCGCTGCATTGCGACATTTTATGAAATTTTCTTCATTGTTCTAAGATCTTATAATTCCTCGATTATTGTTTATGTGTCCAGCAGCATGATGAATTATGTACACATATGTGTATAAATGGTAAATTGTTAAAATAATTGGCACGAGCCAACATTCTATTCTCTGCTGTCATAAAAATGAGGACACAATTTGCGTATATGTAACATGTGTATATAGTGCCTTTAAACTGTTGTTTTTAAATAAAGCAAACGTAAGTTATTTCTCTTTTTTTATTTGACCTCTTTAATATATTTGATTACTTATGTTATCTTGTATCTATGTTAAAATGTGATATATTTTATATTATCTAATTTTAAACACATAAAGTTATCTTTTATATCCTTTTATCACAATATGAATCAATATGATTAGATATTACTTGATGCTAACGAATGGTTTTGGAAAAAAAATTCAATTGAATTGAATTTGTTTTAGAACTCTTGTTGAACCATACTGTAATGTATTTTTTGATAAAGTTTATTTCATGTTAAGTTTTTAACAGATGTGAAAATATTAAAATTGATGTGCTCCTATATGGAAATGATTCCCTGATTCTGCTTGGAAAATGATTCAATTCATTGAATCTAAATCGGTTGATTTCAAATCGAATTCTGATGTTCTACGCTTGCGACGAGCAGAGGCGCGAAAACTCTACGTTTCACCGAAGATGCAACTATGTCTGTCTTGATCTTTACGACTTCTAGGAATTACGAAAACACGGAGGTCGATTTCACGTCATTGCGACCACAATGCGTGTGTTATGCGAATATTTACATGTCTATGAACCCCCGACAATATAAATATCCATATTAAAATGTCCATTGTGCATCCGATTTCTCGTCACTGATACTCGCTGTGCCGTTAGTTTATCGTCAACAGTTCCGAAATAGCAATAAGAATGAGAATATCTTCCTTCAGAGGGAGAAAAAGAAAAAGAGAAAGATCTCAGCAGTTATATTATCAGAGGCAAGAATCGAGAACAAGCCATTATTGTGAGCGTTAACAAATCGCTCACTGTTGAAGTTATACAAACATAGGTGAACTACGCTCTCACCTATGTCCGTCGCGTTAAGATAAGTGGAAACGATACCTTATTCAAAAAAAAAAAAGAATGAACGCATGGAATTCGATTTTCTCTTGAAGCGTAATAACGAAAGATCATCGTCATTTATCGTCGAAACTTCATTCCAGAAGCCACGAGGGATCCCAGATAGCTCTTTTTATCTCTCGTCTCGTGAATTTTTAACAGTGGTAGTGCATCTTAACAGTGCTCCGTTGTTTTACACTTATCTATCTTTTTTCTCTATGTTTTTTTTATGTCCATTTCTATCAATGTAGATTAATTTTACTCTCGGTTTAAGTTATTTTTTATCTTTGTTTAGTTTTTAAGAATTCAAACAGAAGATAAGGAATACATCAAACCGAGATTAGAATGAAAATAAAAAATTATATACATTGGTAGAAATTGCTTATCATATACTTAACTTCAATTCAAATTCCGATTAATTTAATTGACGAATAATAAATGACGAATGTCTAATAATATTTCTATTTTGTCAACGTATAGAATTTTTAATCTTTTTTATATAACATATAGGAGGAAAGATTAGAAATTAATTAAATTGTTTGCGAAAAAAATTAGATTATAGACAACAAGTTACATAGAAATTTTTTGTTCCAAGCAGAATTGCCGGATAAATTAATCGTCGATGAAATTAATTAGTTTTGTTAGAATGAAATCCTTAAGGCGACTTTAATCAAACTCCAATTAACTTAATCGATGATTAATTCAATCGACAAAATTCTGCTTAAAGCAAAAAATTTCTGTATAACTCTATTGTAATCTTTTTTTTCTCTTTAAGAATATTACTTAAATAAGGACTAAATCGTTGATTAAGTTAATTTGGTCAAAATCTTTTTATATATTCTTCTTTTTCTCGATTATTTTATATCACGAACTTTTGTTTCTGCTGTCCTGGAATTTCCTTTTTTTCTTCTTATATATCTTTACACATGTAAATATCAACCGGTTCTATTTACACGTATGTACATAAAGAGCATAAAGAGCGAGAATGAGCAAACGAGAAAGGATACTTGATTAATTTTCAAAAAGTCAAGATTATCAATTCTAATTTATTCATCTAACGCTTTGAAGAAAAAGGTGAGTAAACGATAAAACTGGTTGAACTGCATTTTACATCAAAATCTTTTAATTACTTAATTACTTTAATTGAGATATTGTTACACTTCATATATGTATAAAGACATTTCATCACAATAACTATTGTGCGTTCGTTATCGTGAAAAAAAAAAATTGTCTTGAATATTTTTATTTGTAGTTCCTTACAGACTCTTCGTTCTTCGTTCCGGCGTGTTTACTTTGCACCCGCTCGACATTAATTTCGGAATTGATCTCCACATCCCGTACCTCGGAAGGTCAAGTTAAAAAAAAAAAGAAAGAAAAAAATCGACATTAAACGGATTATATTTAATATTTAACGAGCACACTCGCATTTATTCCTGAATTTGCGTTCGTAGGTCAGGACAATTTAATTTGGAGTTTTTCGATAATATATAACCCGCCTTCGAAATTCATATCATTTCA